ATTACACTTTTATTATCTTTATATCATCCTTAGAATCAGCAGTGATGACCCATGTTTTTGATAACCCATTTTAAAATTTCTTTTTGGATAATATTTTTAGTTTCCTTGTCCATTTTGCTAGAGACATCAATTTTATTAATCCCTTACAAAGAATCAACTTCTGGATTTATATGTGTCCTCTATTTTTTCAATTAATATCTATTTAAATGATTTCTGTCTTCTACTTAACTACTTCTACTCCACAATGTTTTCTGCATTTATTTTCCCCTTCTCTTTCCAGCTTCTTGAGCTGAAAATTTAGTTAATTTCTTTTATTTTTTCTTGTTTTTTAATATTTGCATTTAAGCCTATAATTTTCTCTCTAAGTACTCTTTTAACTGAATCCAGTAATGTAGGGGGTTAGAAATCTTGATTCTTCTTTGATCTTAGAATAGGATTTTTAGGAAATGCATGAATGAGCCAAGAGGCTCTTGAGTAAGGGGATGAAAGTCCATAGATTAGTTTGGCAACAGCCATCTAATCAATTCTAATCACTGTTTAGGGATGGGATTGTGTACTTTGACTGTTTCCGGTTGCTGGTTTGATTCCAGCTTGAATGACTATTGACTATGTAACCTGCTGAATGTTCTTAAGATATATTAAGAAAACTGCTCGAATGCTGTTTAAATATGCTAAGGAAATTGCTGTGGCAAGTATATGGAAAAGAAAATGTTTACTAAGGACAAGCGGTTTGTTGGTGAACTAACCAAGCGTTTTACAAATTACACTCTGGAATGTCACATTGTTAATTTACTGCTGTTACAAGTTTTACACTGCCTGTTTTTATGTCCTCCTTTGATGATTGAGTCAACTGATTTTTTTTGTGAAACTTTCATGTCTTATCAATAAAAAGAAAGGCTGATTTTGGATTTGGGCTGCTCCCCTAATGGGTGACAGTCCCTCCAGGCCTCACTGATGGTACTTTGAATGAATTCTTTCTTTCTCTTTTTTCTGTCTAAGTTACACAGAGGAAAGTGTAACACAGTAAATTTTATTTTATTTTTTTGTTTTTATTATCTTTCTGTTGAAAATTTTATATTTAGATATTTTCATTGGTATTTCTTCTTTAATCCACAGGTAATTTAGAACTGTGTTTCTTAATTTGTAAGTAATTGGGGGAATATTTACTTATATTTTTATTATCAATTTCTAGTTGGGTTCCAATATTATCAAATATGTATTCAGTGTGATTTAAGCCATTTGAAATGTATTGCACTGTGTGTTATGGCCCCCTGTATTATCTATTTTGATGAATATTCCACTAGCAATTTGAGATGTATATAACAGTTCCACGTCTCCTTTTCTCCACTCCCATAACCACTTGTCTGTTTGAAACTATGTGACAAACTCAAGACCTTTACTCATAGGGGAGAACCTTGCTTTTCCTGCATTTGAATCAAGTTTTCAATGACTTGTTCTGAAATAACTTTCCTCATCTTATGGAAATGAGTTCAGATGTCATCTGAAAAGGCAGAGCTTACATTTACACACTCAACCGATTTGCTTATTTTGTAGGTCATGATTTAGGTAAGAGAGTTTTACATATTTTGTTTTTGTCCAGGCTAGACTTTTTCCTGTGGTGATTTGACCTCAAGTTGTTCTTTTGTGATTTTTGCCCCCAGAGGGCATGGTTCTGTAAATCTTGTTCTACATAGTTATTATCCTGTGGCATCTCTGGAGATGCAGAGCCTACCGTCAGAATTATGATAAAGGTCCCAGTGAATTTAATTAGAGAGGAATCTGGAGATGCACCAGTTGAATGACTCAACAATATGGGCTCCAGTTCAAATGATGATAAAATGTCACAGACTTCTGCCCTTACCTCAGAGTGTTCGTCTGCATCAGTATTCACATGACTAGTTTTTTCAGGAATTGAAATAATGGACTGAAAACCTTGGATTAAAATTATTACTCAAATTAGGGATTAAAATTATTCTCCATCCTTCAAGCAACCCAAAATTCAACTATACTACATGAAGACAGGCCAGTATAACTGACTGAGAATCAAAATATTGTAAAGTCTATTTCATTATTTTGCTTTTATTGATATAAAACACATGTTGCAATATTACTTTTAACAATTCATAATTCTCTCTCACAGAAACTTGATTTTTTTTTAACTTCATAATGCTTATTTGTTTGTGACTAGAACAAATTTTGCCAACACTCAAGATCTGGGGTCTCTGTTCACAATCAAGATCCAGACTCCTTTAGGTTACAGGACATTCTTGATATTCATTTTAAAAACTCCAACAATTTAAAAGGTAACTTTTTTTTTCCCTGAAAGACTAATATGAATCAGACTTTCAGCAAGCATGAAAAGAGTTGGTCATGTGGAAACATTTCAAGGTCTGGTGATGGCTTATGTGTTAACTTTGCTCTCTATGTTCACAGAGACAGTGTCAGTGCACCAAACTTATCCTTTAGGACAAGGGAGAAGGCACTATGATCCAGAACTGGGACTGAATGATTGTCTCCTCATGCAGGTAACCCTGGAAATACATTTATACATAAGATTCTGAACTAGGCAGCTTTACGTTATGCAACAGTACTTCGGTGGTATGGAAATTCACCATCTTTTATAAGTTCTATTTGATTTTGGTAATCAGCCACATTAGGGGGCCTTTGTGATTGCTAAAATATATGTGGATTGACTCAATTCTGTAATACTCTTTTGTGTATTTTAATATTATAAAAATCTAGAATAAATTTGCATTCTCTAACAGTGTTCTTAGAAACTAATTTCAAGTGTAACTATGTGGGGGAATATTTTGATGGGCAAGTATTTGTAAATCTCATATTAGGATCAACTGATGTGTTCCATAAGCATTGTTTAGCATGGTAAAAGCTAAAAATAAATAAATAAATACAGAAACAAATGCGGGGGTGCAGGGAAGAAGACACCATAATCACAATTCCTTGAACTTGTTAAGACAAGTGAACAGATACGATGTTGATGGAGTGAGGAGAGGAAGGGGGAAGGGAAGATTCGGTAAAGAGACATGAAAATAAACTACGTTGTATATTGATAAAATAAAATTAAATTAGAAAAAAAGTTAGAGAATGATATACCATCTGTAGAAGCTGAGTGAGTGACTTTCAGGCACCCGGTTTCTTCAATTCACCGGAATGATAGGTCAAGTAAGAAGAGGACTGAAATTGACCACTGGATGTAGTAAAGTGAGGAACAGAAAATTAGGGGTGGGGGTGCTAGCTTCAAAGGGATGTGGCGTCAAAGCATACATATTTTTAAGCATGGAAATACACCATATAAATATGCTGACAGAATAATGCAATATATTCCGGAAAATTGATGATATAAAAATGGAGGAGAAAATTGCAGGAGCACTTTTGTTAAGAGTGATAAAGAGGATGGAAACATGTGCATAAGCAGAGGTTAGCCACAGGAACACAGACAATTCATGTAATGTGAGGAGCACGTAGGGCAGAATATATGAGGTCAGACTGAAGTGAATGTCAGCAGAGATTTTGAGAGCAAGTGGCTGTCACTGCTAGGATTATTTTAAGAGATAACTGGACTAATGAATATTAGTACTACTTATAGTTTTTTTGTGTGTGAAGTCTTCTTTTTCTCTCTCTCTCATTTTTGTTGCTTGCATTCTTCCCTCCCATCATTTTCATCCTTTAACACACTGCTTGCCTCCTCCTGCATTACCATTAAAATTGTAAACTATGTTTACAACAGATATATACATATATATGTGTGTGTGTGTATATATACATACATACATATACATATATATATATATATATATACACATATATATATACATATATACATTTATATTTTCCCATGGGCTGCATGATGATGTTTTGGCCAAAGACAGACTGCATACATGACAGTGGTCCCATAAGATTATAATGGAGCCAAAAAAATTCCTATCACCTAATGACATCATAACCATCATAGCATCATAGCACATTATTTAATTTTTAAAACAAATTTTGTGTGCAGTGTTTATATAGTCTACAGTAGTGTACAGTAATATCCAAGGCCTTCACATTCACTCACCACTCACTCACTGACTCACCCGGAGCAACTTCTAGTCCCGCAAGCTCCATTCATGGTAAGTGCCTTAGACAGGTGTACCATTTCTTATCTTTTATACTGTATTTTTACTGTACCTGTTCTATGTTTAGATACTCAAATACTTACCATTGTGGCACAATTGCCTACACAGTATTCCATACAGTAACATGCTGTAGAGGTTTGTGGCCTAGCCTTTACCATGTAGCATAGGTGTGTACTAGGCTATGCTATCAAGATTTCGGGTTTATATCATTTGCCCACCTTTCTATTGGTTTGTTTATTTATTAATTGCTTAGAGATTTTTGTCTATGTTAGATATTTACTCTGTGTATGTCCCTTAAAATTTAAATCTCTTCTCCAAACTACTTTTGTCTATTCACTTTATGGTATCCTTTCCTAAGTTCTTAAGAAATTTTGAAATTGTCAGATATGTTTATTTGGGATTTTAATTATTAGCTAAGATTTTTCCACTTCTGGAATGTAGAAATTCATCTCCTTTATTAATGTGAGAGCAGTGGTCTCTTAAGACTTGCTTTTGTTTTACATTAAATCTTTAATCCATTTTTATTTATTTTTTGTTTACCTTATTAGCTATGTGAACAATTTTATTGGCTTTCAGATGGAAAACTAGTTGTGGGTAGTTTATTTAATAATTTGTCCTTTTTTCCACATATGCCTCTAATTAATTATTTCTCTTTCTCTTGGTCTGTAAGATTTCTAATGTTAGGGAGCTGCTTTAATCAGCCTTGTATTCTTATAATCTGTGATGATTCTGGAACGTAATCCTTCATAATGCCTTTTGTTAAGTGAATAATCAAATTGTCCTAAAATTTCATGAAACCACTAGTAATAATTATATTTGCAGATAATTTTGTCCTGACCACTGAAATAAAGACATAAGGAAGGACATATGAAACAAAGGAACAATGTGACTGAGTTTGTCCTCTTGGGGCTCACCCAGAGCCTCCAGGGTCAGAAAATACTATTTGTTCTGTTCTTGCTCATCTACGTCCTGACGATGGTAGGCAACCTCCTCATTGTGATGACTGTGGTGGTCAGCCCAGCCTTGGATGCCCCTATGTACTTCTTTCTTGGTTACTTATCATTTATGGATGCTGTTTACTCTACTACAGTTACCCCGAATATGATTATTGACTTACTCTATGAGAGGAAAACCATTTCCTTCCAAGCCTGCATGACTCAGCTTTTTATAGGGCACTTATTTGGTGGTGCTGAGATTTTACTCCTGGTTGTCATGGCCTATGACCGCTACGTGGCCATCTGCAAACCCCTGCATTACTTGATGATCATGAACCAACGGCTGTGTGTTCTGCTGTTGCTGTTGGCCTGGGCTGGAGGTTTTGTGCATGCTGTCATTCAACTTCTCTTTGTTTACAACCTTCCCTTCTGTGGCCCCAATGTCATTGACCACTTCATCTGTGACATGTACCCCTTATTAAAACTTGCCTGCACTGACACCTATGTTATTGGCCTCACTGTGGTTGCCAATGACGGGGCAATCTGTGTGGTCATCTTTGTGCTCTTACTCATCTCCTATGGGGTCATTCTGCAGTCTCTGAAGAACCTTAGTCAGGAAGGGAGGCGCAAAGCCATATCCACCAGTGGCTCCCACATCACTGTGGTGGTCCTCTTCTTTGTCCCTTGTATTTTTATGTATGTGAGACCTCCTTCTTCTTCCTTACCAATTGATAAATCCTTGACTGTGTTTTACACTGTTATCACCCCCATGCTGAACCCCCTAATCTATACTCTGAGAAACATGGAGATAAAAAATGCAATGAAGAAGCTCTGGACCAGAAACAGAAAATGAAGTGGCAGATGAATGAGTCACCCATTTTCAACGAAGAGTTTCTTCTTCCAGGAAAGCCATGTGCGATTATATAATTGTAGTACATTTCCCCCCAGATTTAATAAACTTTGACACAATGAATAACATTTATTATGTAAATACTTCCAGTGATCAAAATATACTTTTAAGATTTTCATAATTTCTTAGGAAAAGATATGTTCATTTTTTGGGTGTAAAATGGCTCTGTCGAAACTATTGATTTACGTGCTGTAGTTAATATTGTAAATTTATTCTGGTTAATGGGAGATCTTCTCATGTTTCTTTCCTAAATAATGTTAAATCTTTTTTTTTTAGAATCAATAGTGCTCATTACAGATTTCAGAAGAATAAAATAAGAAATAGGATGTAAAAACTTGGTTCACTTCTCCCTATACAAATATAGATCATACTAATATTTGAAGTATTTTATTTTTGTATTTGTAATAGACTTTAGATACACAATTTTTTCATATTGCTTAGCATATTAAGGCTGAAGAGGAATAATGCTTCAGAATTTTAATGCTAATCAAAAGGAGGCTAAGTATACAAAAAGTCTGAATGATCAAGGGAGATATGCAGAAAAGTGACTAAATCTTACTTATTTTTCTAATTGAGAAATTATATTATCTCCACAGGTGGTGCAGCTTTGGTTGGTGCTGTATTTTCACAAAGATAATCCATTAACCTTCCCATGTAGTTTAGAATATCTGATAATACCTCTTCTATTTTTCAATATCCCTACTCCTATTTACTTACAGTGTTCATCACCTTCTAAAATGGACCTAGGCTCGGCCTTTTATGTGTAAAATCAGCATAATCCATAATCCATGAGGTTTACATTTCCAATGCAGAGCTTGATGTCATGTATTTTGGAAAATATCATTTTCAGGAAAGATGTTGGAGTGTATATTGTTTTCGTGCTTATTTCCTTTATTAAAGGCAATAAAGAGACCAGAACCTATTATTTTATCTGGTAGAAACCTCATTCATAAAATCTTTGTTTATAAAATTTCTCTCTGCATCAGTCTTGAAATAAAATTTTATCTGCCCCTAATATCGTAGAAAACATGTGGTCAAAGTAACTAATTGTTCCTACTTTTCCTATTTGGTGTAGATTGTGAGGGGCTAAAGCTGTGAAGAAATGAATTCTTTTCATTGGTAAACCACACTGTATGAGGAACTTTCTATTGTTATTTTTATCCCTATTCTTATTACTTGAAGATTTCTGATACCATTTCAAGCTCTTCCCAAACATGACACTATTCACCAAATAATATCAAGCATTTGAGTGTACCAGAGTTTACATGACTAAGTCATGTAGTTATGTAGTTAATTTCAGATATGTAGTTAATTTTCAAATTTGTGTAGTTATATGGAGTGATGAGATAAAGATATTGGTTAATTGTCTGTTTCTGTTCATTGGTCTGTAAGTTCCCTGAAGTCAGGGAAGTTTACTGAATTATCTTTGTGCTGTCTGTTCCTTGTCCTATAACTGGGCATGGAATCCACTCCATAAACTTTGTCAATTACTCATGTGTAATATACAAACTTAACTGTTAACCATAGTCACCTTATTGTACAATAGAACACCAGAACTTATTCATCTATTTAATTGTAATTTTGTACCTGATGACCAACCTATCCTTATTTTTTCTTCTCTTTTCTTCCCCTCCCCAGTCTTTACGAATCACTGTTCTGTTCTCTGCTTCTATAATACCAACTTTTTTTTTTTTTTAAATATCACATATGAGTGAGGTCATGTGGTATTTGTCTTTCAGTGCCTGGCTTACTTCACTTATCATAATGTCCTCCAGGTCCATCTATGTTGCAACAAATGACAGGATTTCATATTTTTTATGGCTGAATAGTATACCATTGTGCAAATAAACCATATATATTTTTCATCTGTTGTTGGACACAGGTTGATTCCATACCTTGGTTATTGTAAATAGTGCTTCACTAAACATGGGAATACAGAATCTCTTTGACATACTGATATAATTTCCTTTGGGCTTATACCCTGTAGAGAGATTGCTGAATCATTTGGTCGTTCTGTTTTTAATTTTTTGAGGAACCTCTATTCTGTTCTCCATGATGGCCGTACTAGTTTACACTCTCACCAACTGTGCAAATGTTCCCTTTCCTCCACATCCTTGCCAACATTTGTTTTCCTTTGTCTTTTTGATAATAGACATTCTAACTGTAGTGAGGTGGTATGTTATCATTGTTTTGATTTGCATTTTCTTAATGATTAATGATGTTGAGGATTTTTCCATATGCCTGTTGCCCGTTTATATATCATCTTTTGAGAAACATCTATTAAGATCTTTTCCCATTTCTTACTTGGGTTGTTGGATCCTTTAATTTTAATATGATTTTAGAATCAGCTTGCCATTTCTCTTGTTCCTGTTATGTATTGGTACATAAGAAAATATTGCAAATCTAAGTACCTTAAAGTAATCAGTATTTTATTACATCTTATGGTTTTTTGTGTTAGACATTTTGTCAGAAATTGAAACATTCTGCTCTGAATGGCATGGACTGAGGTCAGTCTCTGGTATTCAGCTGATGGCTTGCTGGGCTTTTATGTAGGGTCCAAGATAATTTCATATAAATGATGCTTTGGCAGGGATGGCTAGAAAGCTGGGCTCTGCTGGATCCCTTTCTCTCTCTATGTGGAAACAGGAGTATGCACACAAGGTCTTTCTAGTGAGTTTCCCAGACTTTTAAATGGCAATTCAGCGATCCCAGAGTGGGGAGGCAAAATATAGAAGCTTGCAGGCCAGTTAAGATCTTATCTCATTATGACATCAGTTTGAAGTCCAGGCTGCCTCCCATAACATGTTTCTGTACATACTATTTCCATTTTGTTAAAAGACTTTCTTGTGCTGCTCCATTTTTTTGTGAATGGCCCTCTGACGTCACCCACAACAAAGATGGCACTCCTGATGGCATTAAGTTGTGTCTCTTTGAAAGTCCAATAATTTCTCAGTAGTTTACTTTCAAATGTTCTTTATCTGGTCAATGAGTCAGGGAGTTATTGAATCCCAAATCATAGTGTTCATCACAGGGTGGCCGTATTAGATTTCTGCCATTCTCCAGTGTGCATATCTTAGAACTGAAGGAAAGAACTGTAGAATAATGGCTAAACAAATAAATTATTTACATTAATGAGATGCAAATTATAAAAAGGAACAAAAGGAAAAAGTAGAGTATAAAGTACCATATCTGAATTTAAAATATCATGCAAGGGCTGAATAGCAGATTTAAGCAAGTATAGGAAAGAATCAGTGAATTTGAAAAAGGGTCACTGAGTTAATCCCATCTGAGGGACAGAAAGAAAAGAAGGCAGAAAATTATCAGTCTCAGAGACCTGTGGGACAACCCCAACGAAACCAACATGCACATAATGGGAGTCCCAAAGTAAGAGGAGACAGAGATATGAGAAAAAAAAAAAAGAATATTTAAATAATATAATGACAAAACTTTTAAAATTTGATGAAAAACATGCATCCACATGTAAAAGAAGCTTAGCAAACTCCAGTCGGGGTGAGCTGAAGAGATACACAGCTGGATACATCACAATCAAACCATTGGGGCCAAAGACCTGGAATGCAGAAAGATGCAGCTCATTGCCTACAAGGAACTATTAATAAAATTAATATCCAACATCCCATCAGAAACCATGGATGCCAGGAAGGAATGGGGTGACTTATTCAAAGTGCTGAAAGAAAAAACAAAAACAAAAACAAAAAAAACAAAAACTACTCTCATTAAGAATTATATATCATGTTAAATCATCCTTCAAAAACGAAGAAAACTATAAAATATTCTCACATAAACAAAGCTGAGAGGAAGTATTGCTAGTCGACTTGCTTTATAAGGGATAAAAAGAGAGTACTTTAGGCTGAAATAAAAGGGCACAAGACAGTATCTTGAATCTACATGAAGAAATAAGGAGCACAGTTAAGGTAACTACATCGCAAACATAAAGGGCAGTATACATCTATCTGTCTGTTTTCAACTCTTTTCTACTCTCTTCTGACTTAAAAGACAACTGAATAAACAATGAGTAGAAATCTTTATTAATGTTCTTATAATGTGTAAAGATGTCATCTGTATGACAGCAGCACAAAGGAGGAGAGAAGGAAATGGAGTGATATAAAAGCAACATTTTATTTGATAGGAAATTAACATACCCTAAGATTAAACAGTTTAAACTGTATAATTCAGCGATTTTTAGTATGTTTGCAAAGTTCTGCAGCTGTCACTGCTATCTAATTCTAGAACACTTTTTTGTACCAAAAAGAAACTTGGTAGCAATTAGTAGTTACTCTGTGTGTCCACCTCCCGCTAGCCCCTGACAAACAGTGGTCTATTTTTTCTCTCTATGGATTTACCTATTTTGGATATTTCATATGAATAGAATATTACAACATGTGTTCTTCGTGTCTGTACACTTAGCATAACGTTTTCAAGGTCCATGAAAGTTTTTGAATGAAGCAATTTGCTTCCTTTCTGTGGATAAATAACATTCTATTGTATGTATATACATATTTTGTTTACCCATTCATCAGTTGATGGGAATTTGGGCTGTTTTCATCTTTTGGATATTGTGAATAAGGCTGTAATAAGCTTTTGTTTATAGTTTTGTTTGTGTGTGTGTGTGAAAATATATTTTCAATTTTCTTGTGTCTATACCTAGGAATGGAATTTCTGGATAACATTTTAACTCTATGTTTAACTTTAAAAATTATTTATCAGTTTTTATACTGACAAATAAATATATTTATGGTATACAACATGATTTTTGTATGTACATATAAACTGTGTACTGGCTAAATAAAGCTAATTAAATATATGTTCTTTTTTTTTTTTTTTTTGGTCGTGAGAACACAAAATCTATTCTCTCAGTATTTTCAAGTATACAGTAAGTTGATACTAACTATAGTCACCATGTTACACAGTAGATCTCCAGAACT